TTGTACCTGAGAAGAACAAATTAGTAATTAAATAACAAAAATTATACAAAGTTCATCACATCCTATTTAATTATATACAAACATCGTGTCTTAACTGGTGTATACATACCAGTTGAAATTGCATTTGGACAAAAAAAAAAAAATTTCTTTTAGTAAAAAGTTATTAAAATATTCACCCAAAAGTTTTGCTTCATGGCAAATCCAATCTGGAGAAGGTTTAGTTAGCTTCATAACAAGTTTCATTACTTCATACGCTTTTAAAGGAGGCCACACACAACCTTTTGTTGACAACCAGGTCACTGGCACAACTGCAACCTCATCAGTCAATAGAAACTTAACAATTGCAAAATTGTTCGGCATTATCTATATAAAGCAAAATTAAAAATACTTTTGAACACATATTTCAGATATATACATAAATACAGCAATTACAATATAAAAAAAAAATGAAATTAAAGAATTTTTTTTATATTAAAAGCTATATATACAATGATAATCCATTGCATTCAAGCAATCATGTCCGTGCAAGGAAACATTGTTTTGATGCACTTGGTCATTATCCATATAATGTAAAATTAAACATACTTTTGAACATTTACATATTTCAGATATATACATGAATAAAGCAATTACAATATTATAAAAAATGAAAATAACAAAATTCTAAGTTAAACATTTTTTAAATTAAAAGCTATATATACAATGATAATTCCTAACACTCAAGCAATCATTTCAGTATGTGTGGAAATATTGCTTAAGAAATATGATTTTTTTTAAAACATGCAAATTGCACAAAGATAATATAATGACCACCCCTGTGGCAGAATTTTTTCAAGCTATTTGCAACAAAACTGTCTGGCACTAATATCTTTCCGTAAGGTAACTTCAATATAACAAACATATATGTTAGTAATTTAAAAATAACAAAAAAGCTGCGTTTCCAAAAAAACTATAATTTTTTTAATTAAACATGCAATAATTTTTTATTCTAATATTATGGGTGTTATTTACGCATTTTGTTGGAGGGAGGGGATGTCACACAAATTATTATCTTCTTCGCATTTTGTAAATAATCATCAAAATTTAAAAAAATAATGTAATTCATTATATAAGAAGAAAAAACGAAGATTAACGATGAAATCATGTGAATTGGACTAATCAAAAAGGGGTTACTCAAATGCGTAATAAATAATTTTAATACCGTATAAAAATATCTGATATAAAAACTATTGAAAAATCAATAGCTGCCAACAATTAGACAGAATCATTGCCTTAAAAGTAAATACTCAAATGCAAGATTCGAACTATCCATATAGTGTGAAATAAATAGAGATATTTAAAAACCAGGTGAAAATCAATATCAATAACTGCCGAAAATATAATGGAAACTTTACATTGATTTACGATACTACCGGTGCAGATTAAGCGCGTCAAAAGGTGTTTATCTAAATGCATGGTTCAAATATTATGTGTAAATTTCTGTAGAAAAGAAAACTAAATTTTTTTACTTTTTAAAAGAAAAATCTTTCTGCAAGAACCGTAACATTCTGTGACAATGTCGCTGTGATTCTGCCATGGGGATGACCACAATAATGAAATATTATTAACAATTTCAGCAGTCAATATTACATATACAAATAAAATAATGATGTATTAATATCATCAGCCTGACAAATGGCTAATGTATTCAAAATTAAAAATTTGGCTCAGCAATTTGTATGTGGGTAAACAAAATAGAAGAATCGTATATATTTATATATATTGAACAGAATTCAATGCTAATATTAAAGGAATGATTTTGTGAGGAAAACAAGAATTCTTTGTTAAAACTTTCAATTCTACTAAGTGAAAAAAATTAATGTATTTAGACTTGTCAATCTGAACTGCAAAGTCTAGGAAAAAGGGGCTGTTGATATTAATAAGACTTTTAGCGAGAAGAGAAAAATTAGTTCACATTAAGCGTGTTCACATGAGGAAGATTAAGTAATTTATACAAGAACAAAACGATCCGTTTTATTTGCAATAAGATATAAAAAGTATGAAAAATAATAAATATGTATAATGTAATATAGCTAAGAAGCTAAAATCTAATTAGAACGTAATTAATATTTATAATACAAAGGAAATATGTTGTAATTATCATTTTCTTTTAAGGCAAGGCATTTACATAAAATATGGTTGACACACATAAAATAAAGAGGAATGATTCTGAGCCAAAAATATATGAGATTTAGCAGGATATTCATAGCTGTGAAGATTTAGCAAGATATTCATAACATCAACACAGCTAAGAAATTTGGTGACTACAATATTTACACTACCATCTGATATTTTAATAATATTTTTTATTAAACAAATAGATTTATCTTTTAATAAGCATACATTATTAGAAAATGAAATCTTTAAAGAAAATTTTTCAAACAGTAACTCTTCATATTGTAAGCCATAACAATTCATCAAAGTCTGACTTATATCCAAGTTCATACATTTCAGAGATATGTAAAATGCATATAGGAGAAATAAAAATGACAATATAACCAATAAGAAGAAAACAAATATTTCAATAATAAAAAACTCTTACTTACTTCAACAATAAATGATTTTTATATCAAGGTTGTAAAAGAAGACGCTCGCTAACAATAAATTCTGCAGTTTCGTATTTGGTATCAGGTTTCTATTTTTGTTGAGTACGGTTAGAATTATAATTATCTAAGAATATTTAAAAATTCAAAATTCTGTTTTAATTCAGAAAAAAAAATCTGCATCAGAAAAAGAAAATTATATCAGAGTTTGGAATTGTAAATAAAAGAATATCAATATCCAAAAACTGAAATCTCTGAGATGTCGAAAACTGGATCTGCGTCAGCTATTGAGTACGATTTGAAACATCTCTTAGACATTCTACAGACATCCAGTGATCCATGTCTTAAACTTATCTATATTAAATATCCAAAAGATATCCAAAATGTCCATATCTAGAACTTAGATATGCCTGGATATCTCTATAATAACCAAATTACCACATCCCCCAGATATCCAAAAATGATATCCCAGAGATGTCTAAAATATCTAACTCATGGACTTGGATGTGTTTAGATATCTGTAAGAAGTCTGGAACATATCCGAATATCCACTGGATATTTGGATAAGTAACAGACGTGTTTGGATATCCCTGGGATAGCGGTGGCTGTGTGGGTAGCAGTCGAGTGTATGCAGGCAGCCGTTGTGTTTAATCGATACGAGACTGAGTAGCAAAGCGTGAGGAGGTTGATTATGTCGCAATCACAAGTAGCATGTCAACTATTCAATGTAGATCATCCGACGAAGTAGGCGTTACAAGATCAAAGTGAACGTTACTGCGTGTTCAAATCACGTCCGGAGGTCACCAATGTAGGGCTAGAGTTATCGACCATGCCAACCTTCATCTATCAAAAGGTACCTCGTGATTGAATCAAGTTAGCATGTCTTATATACCAGTGGATTGATGTTTAATTTTCGTAGTAGGAGTTACGCCACAAAGTATTTGGAGCTAAATTTAATTACTTTATTCAGGCCGATGGTGGTGGTAGTTCATTTCATCACTCTAGAGCTGCCCAATGGGCTACTGGCGACTGTCTTGGAAACATCCCTGAGGATGATCCGAAGACATGCCATCACTGTTTTGATCCGCTGCAGAGGGGATGGCACCCCCGCTTCGGTAGCCTGACATCCTGCAAGCGAAATCGAGCAGTTTACGGTAGAACAGTTTAACGAGGACTAATGCCGCACACCCTCGGTCCCTACGCAGGCTGATCCAAGTGGTCACCCACCCGCACACTGACCGTAGCCAGAGATGCTTGATCTGCTCGGAGCCGCGTCTTAACGATCAGTCCACTGCGAGACTCTACAACCTAGAAACAACGGTGTAAGTGGTAAAGTAACATCTCACACACGAAAGTTTTATTTAAGCGTTACCTAGTGGTGAATTTATAAAACACACTTTCTATGAATAAGCGTATTTTTTTTTTACGGCATTCATAAGAAGCAGCTGACGTTTTTCTCTACTCATCTCTATTGTTTACGATTACCCTTTCTGTCTAGGATTTGTCGGCATTTTTTTTAAATCAATTAAAATTCATCGCCACCATGGCTACGAATTTTGGGTATTTATTATGCAGCAGTTTAATGTTTTCTTTCATTAGAAACTGTCTATTTAAACGTTATAGTTCTAAAATATATCTTATCTTGTCGCCTAGCAACTAATGAGACCTCATCACTTTCTATACAAAGAAAAAATAGAAAAGCTTTTTTTTAAAAAATTATAGGGTTTTATTTTCGAAATTTGAATTTTTTGACCCTCTCTCTATATAACTGGATTACTACTTGTTATTTCTACAAAAGATGAAATGCTTACTTAAGGATTTTCAGTAATATATTATAACAAATTTGTTTTTAAAGTAAAAACTGTATAGGTGTTATTTTAAAATTCTGTGTTGCTTAGCTTGTTTTTAAAAGGTTTTTCTTTTTTTTCGTAAAAAAAAAAAAAAAATTCCATCGAAAAAATCTGACAAAAGAGTTAAAGTACAAATAATTTACTATCATTTCTATAACGATAAAATCTGTATTTTACAGTTTAAATCCAAGTTATACGTATATTCCTTAAATTTCTTTTTATCATAGTTTTGATGCAGTAATCGTGTTAATAATAAACTAACAGAAATTTACTACTTAGATAAAATAAATTATATTGCTTATCATATTTATTGCAGATGTTTTTGTTCACTATTTCTTATTTTGATCAAAAATATATTTCTATTATTTTCTTTTATTTTTTACTTAAACTTAAAATTCAAAAACACTTTTTCATCCTTTTTATCTATGGTTTAAAATTTTATAAAATGCTTGCATTTTATTGTTTTGGTGCTCACTTTGATCAACTATTCACTTGCATGATAAACATAAAGGTGCTTAATTTAATACATGTACCAATCTTAAGCTTTATAATTGACAAGAATTTTTCTATGTGCATTATTATATACCTTATTTTAAATTTTGTAAAAATTAAGTTGCTATTTTTCAATAAAAAGATTTCTTTATAATTTTTTTACATACATTTTTATTCTAATAAATTTTCTTGAATATTTGTTTGCCAATTATCAATCAAATATATATATATTTATGTATATATATATACACAGAACTTATTCTAGGCAGAAAAAAGGGCAGGGTGCAAAAGTTTAAAAAAAGGGTATTATTTTAAAAAGGCAATAATTTCTTTCTATGGGCTTTGCATGTTCTATTAAATAACATTGTCAATTAGGAAAATAATTTTTTTTTTACTTTACTAAAAGTAGCAAAGCAATTATATTAATACTAATTTTTATTAATAAATTAACATATATATCAAGTTAATGAGCTAATTAGCTTAGTAATTTATTTATAATGCGTGTATAGATTAATAAAATAATAAATGTATGTTTTTGAATATCTGTAGTTATGATTTAATAATTAATATGATTAATAATAATTATGATTTAATGATAGTGGAAGTAAGTGCAAACTTACTTCCCTACCCTGCCTTGAATGAACTCTGTATATACATATTTGTGCATGTGTATTAAAGAAGCTTTTTGGTATTCATGAATTATATAAACTTACTGACTCATTAAAACTTTATTTTGCCTGAATAGTAAACTTTTGTTTTTCAGTTGTCGGTGGCAGTGGCTACTCTCAATAGCTTTTTTATTAATCCAAATAGTTAATTCTGTAGACAAGAGCCTTTTCAAAACTTGCGAGCAGAGTGGATTTTGCAAGTAAGTCACAAGCATTTTAAGCATTACTTTTTTTATTGTCTTGATTGTTTATCATTAGCAGGAAACAGATTGACTTGGTTTCTTAAGAAATGGGTAATGCATTTAAATGTTCAAGATAGTAATTTGAGACTAACACTTTCCAAGAACTGTAATTGTCACATTCTAATTGTCTTATATACTAGAGAACTCCTAAAGAACCAATTTAAATAAGTGATAAATTTTAGATCAAAGAATAGTTTAACATTTGATCGATTAAAAAGAGGATATACCTATTAGTTTCTCATGAACATGAAAGAAAGGGCTCTATATTTTCTGTTATTTAATTTCTGGAGATAGAGATAAATTGAGTTTTATAATTTAATTTATATAATTCAATTAATATAATCAAATTGTTATAAAAAAATTAGATTATTAACTGTTTTAAATGGAAATATTGAATAAAATAACCCTTTGCTTAGAGAAAAGACTGCCTCTTAAACAAAGAAAAAGACTCAGTGTCCTACATTTATTATCTTAATCAGAAAATCAAATGGTGGAAAATTGAAAATGGTAATTGAAATGGTAATTGGAAATGGTGGTTTGCCCTCTGAACACAAAGCATTTCAGAGGGCAAACCACCTGACGAAATGTTTTACAATTAAAATGTACAAGTACATGAAACTGAATAATATGATTGACAAAGTGATTCTGCGAGAAATAAACTCCTTCAGTAAGCTAATTTGTCCACAATATGAACAGATTCATAAACCTTGTTTCTATTCATACTCTTCCAAAAGGTGGCAAAACATCGAAAACAAGATTCAAAACACTTTACCTCACTCACAAGAAATTTAATACGAATCGCAAGGGGCAAATAATCTCATGAAAGTAAAAAAAGGTAAAATTCTTTTCTTCTTTTTAAGGGAAGAAACTATTTTGAGAATCAAAACTTATATAATTTACATACTATAAATTAAAATTGTCATTAACTTAAGAGTAAACAGCAGTGATTTAAACTAATTGGATGTAAAGATTTGAATGTAAACATTGTAATTGTAACATTGCACAAAGTATTACTCTGACAGCATCCTAAGTTGTCCACTTTTTCTTTCTGATTGCTTTGCATTCCTGTGGCAGAATTTTTTCGGTATTTCTGCTACATATTTCTCCAGTACTAATATCTTTCTACTAGATTCTTTTAATAATAACAAATACACATGTTGCTAATTTAAAGTAACAGAAGCATCAACTTAAAAAAAAAAAAAATTCAGATGAAATCAAATTTTTTTAAATTGAATATATAATATTTTTTATTATAATATTATGGGCAATATTCTTGCATTTTGTACAAAGATAACATACTAATTATATCATTTCTTGCACTTTGTATATCATCATCACATTAAAAAAATATAATAAAAAATCTTGAAATCTGTAGCTGTAACTACCGAAAAAAAGATCGATGACGAAATCATGTGAATCAGACTCTTCAAAAGGGGATTACTAAATGCATGTTTTCAATTTGAGATTCAGTTGTTGTAATAAACAATATGGTATTAAAAATATTGGATTTTAAAAACAATGTGGAAATCAGTAGTAATAAATACCATAAAAAAAAGTGGAACGAAAATTTCAGCAGAAAAGAAAATTAAAATTTTTAAAGGTAAAAATGTAACCATTACACACATAATAATTACATATATTAACAAAATGTTGATACTCTTTATACAATTTGCTTTAACTTATTAAAGGAAAATATAATAGGAAAAGATTTATAACTTTTGAAGCTCCACAGTTCATTGAAGAACAAAAAGGAATATATTATCCCTTAAATATGCTTTTAATACCGATAAATTATGTTTTTGCATAAGGGTAAATAATGCAATATTAAAAATAACAATAAACTTTTTTAATAAAACCAAAACTTGCCTTCATTTTGTTTCTTGTTCAAAAACTAAAATTTTATTTTTCACAATATTCCTTTTTAAAAATTGTGACATAAATTGAGTGAATAGGTTTTGGACAAGATGGTTTAAACTGCGGATTAATCCATTCTGTCCTAAACCTTGCCACTCTGTGCTAGGGTGTAAATATCCACCATTTGTTTACTTGTAAAAATTAAACAGTAACATTAAGAGTGTATTAAATCACAATTCTTTCAACAATTTAATTCGACTGAAAAGAAGCTTTTTCAAAGAAAAACTCAAGGTTGTATAGATTGCCTACAATAAGAACCCCCCCTCCCCATCTGCCACAAAGTCTGAGGTCGCCTGCTGCTATGGAAACAAGAAAAGTGCAATCCAGGCAGGGTAGCAGCTCTTCACTCTAGGGCTAACACAATAGAACACAGGAAAAGATTACCTTTCTCTCGCCAACTTGTCCAAATCAGTGACTCACCCCTACTTGAAATAGTTGTATGTCGTTACCATAGTCACCGCCACGGGTCAAGACGAATGGCTAGGGGTGTTTTTATTTTAGACACACTATAAGTCACAATTGTTTTAACAATTGAGTTAAACTGCAAAGAAAAACTCAAAGATGTAGTGCTCAAACTGTAGAAATTGTGCTAAAAAATTAGGATATTTAATTACCCTTGAAATTTCCAGCAATAAATGACAGGAAATATCTTTTATAGTAAAAATTTAAGGGAAAAAAAATAAACAGTGCAATTNGATAAAGAGGGATAAAACCTGTAAATTTTAAGATTTTTATCTGGAAAACCTGGAAAAATCAGGGAAATTTGAAATCTGATTCGAGTGGCCACCCTGATTAATAAATATTTGATACTTTTTATACAATTTGCTTTAACTTATTAAAGGAAAATAATATAATAGGAAAAGATTAATAACTTTTGAAGCTCCACAATTCATTAAACAACGAAAGTGAATACCTTATCCTTTAAATATGATTAAATGTGCTTTTAATTCTGATAAATTATGTTTGCACTTAAGGATAAATAATGCAAATGCCTATTAAAAATAATAATAAACTTTTTTAATAAAACAAAAACTTGTCTTCATTCTGTTTCTTGTTCAAAAATTAACTATTTATTGTTCACAATATTTTTTTAAAATTGTGTCATAATTTGAATTAAAGGTTTTTGGACACTTTAGGACAGTTTTGGACAAATGATGGGTTTTGGACGGGACGGTTTAAATCCTAGTTAATCCATTCTGTCCTAAACTTTGCCAACTCTGATTTTAACTACATGTGTTTATGATCAGCCAGTAACGAAATGGCATATAAGTTCATTTTTGATGTCAATCAGGTGAAAAGTTGTCTTCTTATTGCAATTCTCCTCTTTCACTTAGGCGACATCGTAACATCCAGTCTGGCCACTCTCCTTACTATCTGGAAATGAGCAGCTTCAAAATCTACTCAACCAGCGTAGAAGGTGTTTTAGTCAATTCATTGAATGGTGTGATGTTGAAACTGGAATTGATTCCTCTGAAAAACAATATGGTTCGCATGAAAGTGGCAGAACTCAATCCAATAAGGCCAAGATTTGAAGCAAAGGATGCCTTGGTTAGTGATCCTGAAGAAACAAGGTGAATACATTTCTTACGAATCCCATCATTATTATTAAAAATTGATTTCCTTTTCTTATATAGATGTGATTAAGGTATTCAAAAAGCATGTTTTATCTTATTTAATTTACCTTAAATCTAATTTATATATTTTTAAAAAATTATGCACTCAAGTACATTAGCTACATTCAGGGTATCTGCGCAAGCTGGAAAGTCACGGATCTTGGTATTGCACAAAATTTGTCATGAAATATCATGATTTTAATTATTTTTTTAAAAAAATCATGAAAAGTCATAGGTTTAGGATGCCAAAAAATCTAATTTTTAGAAGGGAATTTACTGTCCCTCCACTCAATTTTACAGTGTTCCGATGTTCCAAATATCTAAATTTATAGCAAAATCCTCACTCATAGTCATATTCTATTAGAATATAAAATGTTTTTATCCTGTTCTTTAAAAATTGTGTTGTTCTTTCAAAAAATGAACGAAAGAACATCATTTCTAGAGCATATTATCTTTTAAACTTCTGTGATTTCAGAATTTTTTTTATTTTATCAATTTAAAATTCTAGTTTAGGCTTTTTATATTACAATTTTTTTTAAAGAAGAAAAAAAAAACAGCTTTAAATAGCTACATATATCTGACAGTATTTAGTTATTTGTTTTTGTATTTTTTTCCAGCTATTTTATTGCTTCAACTCTTTCTTTACTCTGTTTTTTATGTTTAAAATAAAAAAATATGAAAATGCAGAATATAACAGTTTTGGTTATACCTATCATTTCAATTACTGTTATTATAATGCTTTTTAAATTTATTGTTGTGTTTTTGTGGAGAAAAAAGTAACTTAAACAGTAATAAAAAAAATTAACAGTAATTCATGAAAAATTCTTGGATTTATTCATGGAAAGTCATGAATTTGAAAATCTAAAATGTAGCAGATACCCTGTACATTGTATCTTCATAAATACTTATTAAAAAAATTCAGTGTTTTTATTAGGGGTTGCTATTAAAAAAAATCATAAAGTAAATAGGCTGGGATAGCAAGTTTCTTCGATAGAAAAAACTACTGAACAGTGTTTTTAAGCAGTTAACAATTGTGATGTAGTTTAAATAACAGTATTAATGTTTAAGCCATAGTAAGATAAAAACATAAAGTATCTGCGCACACAATCCAAAAGTATCTGCAAGCTCAGAATATTTTTGGTAATAGAATAATTTTATTAAATTTACGAAATCAGTTAACTATTTAATATTTTTATTTATTCTTGACAATATATATATAGTAAAACCTCCGTTAAGGGGTCTTTAATGGAACCAAAAAAATAATCCGTTTATGAGAGTTGTCTGTTTACGGGAAGGGTACCCAAATAGCAAAGTTTGACACCGTAAATTGTTTTTAGAATATTTTCAAAGATGTAGAAATAATTAAATAATCTACAATAACTATCTACAAGGATATTTATTTAAACTTTAAGAAAGATAAAAAAGAATATATAAAGAAGTTTGATATAAATACATAATTCTAGATGTAGCTACAGCAGGGTTTAAACTGAGTCTAAAAATTCATTAGCAAAAAAGCTAAAATCTGAAAAAAAGTTTTAGCAAAATGCTAAAATGCCATTAGGCTTATAAAATTACTTTATATCAAACAAGTACTGTAAGTTATCTGACAAAGAATAGCTTAATGTACAAGAATATCAAAAAGAATACCTATAATTAACAATCTTCCTTTCTTTCATGTTTGCCCATTTTACAAATGCTTCTTGAAAGTTAAATGCACTTTCAGGGCCCTCAATATTAATCATTAACAAATTGTTTACATGGTTGATTAACAACCTGTTTCGAATATTATTTTTAATCAAATTAAGGCAGCTAAAGCCCCTTTCACAGTCAACAGTGTGCATTGGTATTGTTGCACAATACTCTATAACAGAAGTTATTAATGGGTACTGTTCAGACACATCATTGGTATATAAAATCTTGTCTGATCAATCCTTCTTGTTTGATCAAGTTTTTTTCATGGATGTTAGCGTCATGGTTTTTCGCGGAAGCTTTTTTTTTTAATGGAATTTAGCAAAAATGCATTGTTGAATTTTAGCATTTTTGAGGGGTCTTTTCGCATTTTGCGAAAAAAGCTACCGTAGCGGAAACCCTGAGCTACAGATAAGTGAATATAATTTTCCTATTAGCATAGATACTCAAGCTAGACATACACCGCATTGGAACTTACAGTCCTCGGTCAGTTTCAATTATTAGGTTTACATCCCCTTACACTTACCTATCATTTGATAGGGAACGTGGTTAATACCTTCTTGAAAGTAAGCCTCCTACGATTCACAGAAGAAGAAGAAAAAAGCAATACATACCTGTAAGTCATGAGGACATATGGAAATGATTATTCACAATTAATCAGCTATCAAGTGTCTGAATAAAGACTTCATTTATATGAGCACCTCAAAGATTATACTTATGTTTTTTTTTTACCCCAGCTATGTTAAATACTGTCTCCAAATTGATAAGACAATTAAAAATATTTTCAATGGGGAAGAAGTATTGAGAGCATTTAAGATGTCATTTCAACTTAAGGGGTCATTTCAACTTATAACCTGTGTAGTCCAGATGAAAAGACCAAAAGATCCCACTCTCCAAATTATTTCAGGAAAGTAGCATCATTTTCTTTCCTTTCTTTAGAAAAATAAGGCAAGGGGACAGGAGAAAGATCGATTCTTCGGCAGTGAAATAGCTTAAAAATATTTTTAGCTATGGATAAGGCAAAAAAATTATATGCTTTAAAACTGGTGAAAAGTTGCCCTTTTTTCCCTCTCGCAATTTAAAGCAGAAATAGTATTTTTTTTTTTTTTCAAATTTAGAAAAAGTAGTGTTGGTTTGAAGATATAGAAAATAACGTTTCAGGGCCAAAATGACTATCCGCGTTCGGTTACGGGAGTGTCCGTTTTGCGGAGACTGTACATAATGGTTTATTGATAGAAGATTATCAGGGAATTGAAAATATGTCTGTATTGAGAGGCGTCCGTTTTGCAGGAGTGTCCATTACAGGAGATTTCACTGTATATATATGCACATTGATAGTTATATGTAGAACTACATTCACATTAAGTAGTTATCATATTAAGTAGTATTAGTAATTTCGTTTCAAGCAAAATTACATTAAAAGATTTCCTACTGTCACTGCAATAATCTATTTTCATTGCAAAGCGATAGTTGAGTTGTAAAAAAATCAGCTAGTTATAGACTCGCATGCTAACAATGGGATTGCTAAGCTTTGGACTAAGTGGCAGTTATAGATTTTCTCTTTGGGAGCAGCATGCATACAACTAAACACTGACTTTCTTCTAGCTTGCATAAATCATTATTATGCCATCTGCTTCATACCACAAACTTTTACACTACAAACTTTTTTTGCTCGCATGGATACTTTTTTTTTTAATATTACAATAAATATTAAAGTATCTGCAAAATTGAAGAATCTCCATCAATGTTACCATACACGGCGTGCATGTGTCTATATTATCTAACTATACTCTAATTTATTTACGTTATCATTTTTAATTGTATTAAAACTAAAGGCTTTCAATATTTTATGTACATGAGTTTAGTAAAAACTTAATTTATAACTATAAAACGAATTACTAAAATATAATAAAAATTTTATTGATTCTGAGTTGCCACTCCACTGGGAAAACCTGTAAAATACAGGGAATTTAAAAATAACCGGGAAAATGCAGTGAATTTTGTTTCTTATTTGTGTTTTTTAAAAAGTGGTGACCTATCAAAGCGTTATCTATGGGATACTTAACCATGATTTTTCAGCTATTTCATTTACTATACAATGTTTTCATTACAGAAAAAAAATGGGTGAGAATTTCTCAGTCTTTCTCAAAAACAGGGTGAGATTTCTAAAAATTAAAATAAAAAAAACAAAAAAAAAAACAAATAGACTTGGAAAATTTTTTAATTTAATTTATAATACATTTTTTACATTTTCTAATTTCTAAACCATTGAATATTTTCATCGCATATGGAAAATATTCCATATCTACTTTTTCATCAGCTATTCTCATTAGGTTGCTCACATACTCATCAGTCAATCTGTTACGATATTTTATTTTAATTCGGATTTGGGTGCTAAGTGACCTTGCAACAGATGCTGAACTATTCGCAATCACTAATTAAATTTGTAGCACACACTTTCCTGTCCTCTACATCTGCCCGCATTGGCTTTTGAATTATTTCTGTTATAGAATAGTGAAGTTCATTGAAGTTATTTCCATGTTCAAACTTCTTGTTAGGTCTTCCAGCATAGTTTTCACAGACTTCAACTTTTACAAATCGCTGTAAATTGTTGATGAGGGACTTTGGTAATTCATTAACAGCCAAAAATGGAGCTAACTTTAAACAATATTTTATAAAAGACTCATTTTTTTTCTCAACACTTGCTATAGTTGTTTTCATGTCTTTTTCAAAACGGCGGAAGACGAAATTTTTTCCAAAATTTGAGAGATTCACACATTTTAAAATGCAGGGATGAGATTCTTCCGCGGATTCGCGGATTTCCGCTTTTTTTTCAGATTTTTCCATTTTTCCCGCTAATTTCCGCTGAAATTTTTTTTTTGCCCAAGTTAAAATGTTTTATGAGGAATTTAATTTTCCGCGGAGGGAAATAGTTGAAGTCCCTTTTCCTCCCTCTGAAGTTTCTCTAAAAATCATTTCCTTGGGATAAAACTGGTTGACCTTTATACAGGGATGAGATTTTTTTTGTCTCTCGAATTTCAGCCTTTTTATCAAAAACTCCGATTCTCTAAAAGTTTCGTTTTTTTAAATAAATATCCCGTTTTTTTTAAATTCAGTCATTGAAGTAAAATAATTATATTTATTTACGATTTTCAAAGATAAACAGAAAATTCAATCTACGCCCTAGCTGCTAACCCTTCCGCATTTTTACTTATTTTAGCTATTTTCTCCGATTTCACGCACAGAAAATAAGATTTTCCGTATTTTTTATCCGTCGGCTGGATAGCTCGTATTTTCGTAATTCAGATCTCGATTTTTATTCACGCGATTTTAATATCAATCATCGATTTTCGTATTTACCTGATTTAAAAGTTGCACATTGCGATTCTTATTTACGCTATTTAAATATCGTATATTATGATTCTTATTTACGACATTTAAAAATCCAATATCGTGTTTTGTATTTATGCATTTTTAAAATCTCGATTTTATTATCAAATCTCGATTTTCGTATTTACCTGATTTAAAAGTTGAACGTTGCGATTCTTATTCAGGCGATTTAAATATTGTACAGTGCGATTCTTACTTACGAGATTTAAAAAATCAATATCGCGATTTGTATTTACGAGCTTTTAAAGCCCTATGTAGCAATTCGTATTCACGTGAGCTTAAAATCCAATATCGTGATTCGTTTTTGTGGTTGTAATATCGCGCGATTTAAAAATTATGCATCGTGATCAAAAAATTAAAAAATCATGATTTGTATTTTCGCATTTTTTAAATTCGATGTAGAGTTTCATATTTACGTGATTTAAAAGTCTCATATCGGGATTTATATTCACATGGTTTACAAGTTTAAAAATCGCACTTTTTTGTCAAATTTTTGTTTATATATAAATTTTTTTCCCTTTTTTTTTTCTTTCTTTTTTTTTGTTTTTTGGATTTCCTCTTTTTTACTTTCTGACTACTCTCATCCCTGAAAATGGATTAATATAGTGCGCTAACTTCTCTCGTTAATAATTTTTTAATGCGAGAAAAGAAAAAAAATATGAGATTCTCACGTTCTCGTTCTGTAGTGAAAACACTGCTATAGCATTATTTAAGTATGTTTAGCTGTTTTTCCAGCAATTAAAACTAATATATATAGTTATCCCAATATAGGTCGCGCAAGAGCACAGTAATTGTTGTTTCCTCTTAATATATTTTGTATAATATGTACAGGGAAAACACAGGAAATTTTTTTCCAAATTCGAGTGGCTTCCCTGTGATTTTACTAAATTAAAAAATCACATTTTAAATATATACGCTTACCACAAATCACATTACAAGTAGAATACTAATTTTTCTAATCAAATACTGGTAAGTATAAATTCTCAAACTTACTCTTAGATAATATGATAAACAGACTTAAAATTTCTCTGTAAAACCTAAATAAATAATAGGAAAATGGCTTTGTTTTTTTCAATGCAAAAGAAAGTAGATAAAATTACTATTTTATTATATAAACTTGCCTTTTTTATTTTATTGTATATATTTGCAGCTTAAGTGTTGTTTCACAAGACTCTGAAAAACTGGTCGTTAAGTTTGGGACAAATAACAAGGCCGTTTTGAATGGAAGTCCCTTTAGAGTTGACATTTATACTGATGATAAACTCGTTGTAAGTGCTAACGCTCGTGGCTTGATGAAATTTGAACATTTCAGACCAAGAGATAAACCGTAAGTTTTCCTTCACTACTTTAATATTATTTCGTCATGTTTAGTAGTATAAATTTTTTTCCTTATTTACAAAAACTAATGAATTAAAGTTCCTGAAGTGTAAGAAGATATGTTAAAGTTAATATTTTTTTATGAAACTATTTACTTCCAATAGGCTTTTGAGCATTTAGTTATCAGTTTAAATAATTTTCAAAAAAAGGATTCAATTGGCTATTAACCAATTTTATATTTTTCAGTTACTTATTAAAATTTTGTATCTTGGAAATTGCTAAGGAAATTGAACAATAGTATTGAGTTAAGGTATTACATGAACTTGGTAACATGTATGATATAGTGAAATATAAAAATTACTAATTGTTATAAACAAAGAAATAATGCTAGAAAAAGTAATTTTAATTGAAAATATGTCTACCAACATATTGAAATTAAACAAAATGAAGTTAACCAGGAAATTTATAGAACAAAATTTAATAACCAAAAAAAAAATTTCTGGCAATGTGAAATAATAAAAGTCATATCATTTTCGCTGTTTTTCTCTACCTTTTCTTATAAAATAGCACTTTTATTATTGATTACTGTAGTAGTCAAAAAAAAAAAAAAAAAGAGAGAGAGAGAGAGAGAGAGAAATACAGTGCAGAACCTCTTATCCGAATATCGGAAAACCAGATAACCGGAATGAAATTCGGAACCGGAAATTAATTTTCTTCCATTAAAAAAAATTATTTTTTTCCTGCAAGATCCCATTTTGTTATTTAGAGCGTACGTCGTATCGAGTTGACGAAAGAACTGATTTAGAGGATGGATCAAAAGCCATTTGTAGACGAATCTCACGTAAGCACAAATAGCTTATATATGTTATTAATGCTAATAATAACATATATAAGCCTGTATATAATATTTATTTCATAATTTCTTTCCTTATTTAAACTTAAGTGTATTATTATTTATCATTTTTTATTATTTCTAAAACCATTTAAAAATAATTTTTTAGTTTCGTTTTATAAACATTAAAAAAGCGGCATTTTGTAGCGATACAGAAAACCGGAAAAATGAGTTATCCGGAATTGCGATGGTCCCGATCGTTCTGGATAATCAGTTCTCTACTGTATATGTAAAGATGGGACGGGGCAGTGATAACTGAATAATGAAATGATTTCTCAGTAACGTACTAAGTGCCATATGCAAAATATTGAAAATCAAACTGATTGAAAAATAGTTAATAACTTTTACTCTTTTTCCGTTTCAAGTGTTTTTTTTTTGTTATTAAAATTTTGATGTATTTCCTATTTAATTACGTCTTTATTTTATTTCTGTATTGTGGTAGACATTTTAATTTAAAATAAAAGCTTTTTTCCAGTTTTAATTATTTTGTTTATAACATTTAACAGTTGCTATGTTTTCTTTTAGACATGGTGCATAGTGTTTTTAAAAAGTGCTTATTTTTGTTTTTTGAAACCTTTAAAGTTTTTTTTTAAATTTAGTGTTTTTAAAAACTGCTTAAATTTCCCTTTTTGAAAATTAGATTATCTTTTTTTTTCCTTACTGTGACGAATTTCGCCTTGGTACAGAGAAAAAACAAACATATTATGCAAAAACGTGATTTTCACATTGTTCTATTCAAGGTTTTTACAATTCATTCAACCACAATCCATTTAGGCTGACCGTTGGTTCGTAGCGTAAGAAAACGTTAATAATTTTTCGTGTTTAATGAAATACTTGCGAGTCGGCATGGGCTTCGAAGCTGGGTTCGGTGAGATTCTTTCACTCTCATGTGCTCTGTTGCTTTTTACAAGATATCCTTAATATCAGTTTTCATTTTCCACCCTCTGAAATCGAAACAAAAAATCTTTTGTTCTTTTTATAGTGGCTAATAAAAGAGTTCTTTGTGAGAAAGTAGTTGTTTTATCATAATCATGTAAAGTCCTTGAAAATTATTTTGTATTTTGTTAATGTATATAGTGCTAAAAAATTTTTTTTGAATGCTTAAAAAGTACTTAAAAAATACTTAATTTTGCTTGAAAGATTTGGCTATGCAGCCTGTTTAGATTCTAAGTTTAGATTAGTGTTATGTTCCCACCATTTAAAAGTTGTGTACAGCGTTTGCAAGTGTTCTATTTAACAATTTTTGATCACATACATCATCACATAGATGTCATACATCAAAGTGAAATTCCTGGCAAACTATATTATAGTACTATCAATGAGAATCAGATGAATATTATAATTTCATTAATATGGATGTTATTTTTTATAAATATGAATAAAATTATTTCATGGGTTTATGTTTCATACTAGATATTTCAGGTATTTTATTTTATAACCGTCGTTGAACAGCTTACCCAATTTTTTGTTTTTACGACTACTAATGTTCAACTCCATAGTGTTGTAATTTTGAAACCAATCCAGAAGACAAGGGAATTTCTGGATCTAGTATTGGGAGAAAATTTTGCCTTTGTGGGGAACTTTTTGATGCATCTAACCCGCATTTGCATTACATGGGGAGGAAAACATCCCACGGTTGGCCTGACGGCAAGGGGACTCTAACCCATGATTAATCGACCACAGAGGATACTTTGTGACAGCTCTGTGGTCAATGCAAGCCAGATGCGGAACTGGTATCGAGCCATCACAGCTCGTATTTCAGGCAAAGATACATTTTAAAAAATACTTTTTTTTCCTTTTCCTGTAGTGTCGCTTGTTAGATACATCTAAAAACAATTTTAAATGTCCCCTACGTGGCATACGTAATTTAATTAATACTTTAATAGAAAAAAAGATTGTTTTTTTTTTTTACAGATAAAATTATGTTTTAAGATTACAAAGTTACACAAGAGAATTGCCATTTAGTTAATAATGATTATATTTTGAATGTTCAATTGAACCTGAAAAAATTCATTTAATTAATAATTTTTTTTTTTTTGACATAGGAAAGCAGTTGAAGAAGGAGGAGAGGGCAATGAAGTCCAGGTAATTAAGTAAAACATCTATTCATATTAAATATTAAGTTTTATAATTGACTTTTAATTATTTTATTCTTTTTTATTCATAATACAGTGAACTCTTGCTACTACGATATCTGATACAACAGTAACTCCCTCTATTATGATAATGTTTCATGGTCCCGACGCACTTTCATACAAATTAATGTTATTCTTCTCTCAATTATGATATTCTCTCAAGCAATAAACCCAAGTTAAAAGAATTTTTTTTTCCAAATTTTGAACCTTATTTTCTCCAGTTATTAATGGTTTTCAAATAATGCAAAAAATCTTATTTTATCTTTTTTCAATTTTTTCTGACAAGAAAAGACTCACTGTTGACCACCCCAAGAGCTTCCATTCTTAGAATTGCTTCCTCATCTCTTAAGAAGTCACAGATGTAACATTCCTATTTGATTTCATTATTCTTCACGTAAAAAACTGATGAGTCACAAATGACCACAAGCATCACATTAACACCTTGAAAGAGAAATTTTTCCGTAAAAGGAGGGTGGAGCACCATTCACAAGTGAAAATCATTTTCGTACTTTTAACTCAATGCATACTTTTTTGGTTGACTTAACAGTCAGAATAAGGAATAAATAAACTAAAATATCGGATTATTTTCAGTCAAATCGGTTTTTAGCTATGTTTACGATCTTATTTTATTTCATTTGTTTTTTATATTTTACCATAATTAACCTATCTGCAAATTAATATATACATTCATAGTTAATACATATATAACGTTAACATTTAAAAAAAAAATCTTATTTTGCCCTCAAAGTATGTAGGCTCTCAATATAACAATATATCCTGTACAACAATATATTTATTTGTTCCCAAAAATATTGTTGTATCGAGGTTTTACTGTATTTAAATTGAAAAAAATATGTTATGCATGGATTAGAATTTTTTGTTTCTCTTTCAGTTATTTTCTCCTCTGGATTTTTATTTTCTTGCAAATGCAGATTGCACAGCCAATAGATCTTTCGATCGTTTGACATTTTACTTTATTTCCTATCTTTCTTTTTTGTCTTTGCATCAGACTTAGTTTAAAGGACCACTTTATTTGTTATTTTGTGTATGTCATTGGTGATTATCAATGTTTAATTACTTTTGTGCCAATTAAATCTACTTTCAATCCAACCCTTTAAATAATTATAAAAACAATAATTCATGTTTTTGTGGTGTACATCTTTCAGTTCAGGAATAGTTAATGTGTAGCCTCCTGCCTACATGCTAATAAGTAATGGGAGAAAAGACTTCATAACTAGCATCAGGAAATGGGCAATTGTTTCTGACACTTATTTTAACTATGCAAACTCTGAAAAAACATTGAATATCCCTGATGCTAAAATTTTAAAATTCACCGATAATAATTCAAATAGTCCAAAAGTTCTATTCTATCAACATTTTATGTTTAAAAAGCTTTTTTTTTTTTTTTTTTAAACATCTTCAAAAGTAATGTTATTATGTATGCATAATGCTCTATTAGAAATGGAATGTGCATTAAAAATAATAATTTTTTTCTGCAAAGAAAGTTAAAATCCTGTTTTAATAATTGGTGCAAAATGTGCTATGTAATTATTATTTTTTTTTTTAATGTAAAGATTACTTTTCATATACTCTTTTTTTAAAAACATTTTTTAGACTAAATAATATTCTTCTTATTACATTAATAAATAATTAAGATATTATCAATTTTTGTAAAAACTTAAATTGTTTTGACCACAAAATTAGAAAAAAATCTTTATCATAGCTGCATTTTTTCTATTTGTTTTGTAAATTTGTATTGAGTTCTATTTATTTTTCTTCAAAATTATGACTGTTTCTTTATGTTCAGGAACAACAACCTCTTTTATCAGCTGATGAAGAACAGTTTAAAGACACTTTGTGGGAAGAAACATTCAGGGGAAACACTGACACAAAGCCAAATGGTAAAATAAGAAATTGAAATAATTATTCCTTTTGTTTTTTATAAAAATTTAATTAAGGCTTTTTTTTGTATGTAAATTTAATGTAATAATTTATTTTTAATAGACAATAATAGATAAGACACTTACTTATACTCAAATGTTGTCTATTTAAGTAGAAAAATGCTTGCAATTTTGCCTTGTAAGACAAATATATCAACAGATTACACAACTTATGTTATCAATATACCAATTTAGAAGATACTTCTTATTCTACCAAAAAAATATATATATATATTATTTTCTAATGCATTTTTAAGAAAGTAGGGGTAAGTATAAAAAATGTTAGAAATGTGTCTGAAAATAATTATGTTATAGTTTTAATATACTATATTTGGTAGTCGTAATACCAAACTGGTACTTCAAAAATTCGTAAACAGTAAAGTAAAGTTGAAATTTTATTTCATGTAAAAAAGGTCAGACCCAATCCACATCTATGAAGTGTCTATATGATGATTGTTAGATTGAGGAAAAAGAGGATTTGACCTTGAAAAGAGTTTTTATATCTTTTTGGACAATATATTTAAGTATTAATAGATATTAGTATGAGACTTATCGATTTTACCTGCTACTATAGACATATCCTCACATTTTATGAGATAATTAAATCAATATTATTACTCTCTTTGTGGAAAAGTTTTTAACTGATTGCCTGTTAGATATTTGTGGATTAGATTAAGTGTGTGTGTGTATATATATATATATATATATATAGAAAACATGGAAAAAATTAATAAAAAGAAAAATTATTTAAATAAAATGTTTTAAAAAAAATTCAAAAATTTTATGTTAAAATGCTAGAAAACAAAATAATGAAAAGATATCTTTTCAGTCAGCTCTCACGATTATATCTGCAAAAATGAGTGCTTTCTAATATTGTATCAATGTAGCTAAATCAAAATATATCAATACAATAGTGTAATTACTTTGGCTATATTGATACAATATTGGAAAGCACTCCTTTTTGCAGATATATCTTCATCAGCTCACACGATTATATCTTTTCATTATGTTGTTTTCCGGCTTTTTAAAATATACTTTTTGAAATTTTTTAAAAACATTTTTAATATTTTTTAAAAATATTTTATTTGCTATTTTCATTAATTTTTATTATCTTTCATGTTTTCTCTATACTTTGTGCAGGTCCAGCCTCTGTTGGGATGGACTTCTCGTTTGTAGATTTCAAAGAAGTCTACGGCATTCCTGAGCATGCAGATGTTTTCCCCCTTAGAACAACTAAGTATGTAGATTTCTTTCTTTTCTTCGAATTTTAAAACTATTAATTTCAGTGGTATCTTTCTAAAACTATTTTTTTGCTTCAACCCAATCTAAAAAATGTATCAAAGTGCGAAAAAAAGAAATATTTTCTAGGAAATTTTTCCGAATCTGCTCAAAATTGCTTTCTTCTTAGTGCAGAGAAGTAATTTTAAAATTTATTTAGGATTTGGTTAGTAACTAATTAGGAATATGTTCAATATACTACTTTAAGTTCATGTTAGTTATGAATGATGCAGGAATTATTTGAAATTTTTTTTATGCATTATGAAATACCTGATTTCAGTTTTTTATAAAGTTGTTACTCTAAAAGCTAAACAATGCTTCAAAAGGGAAAAATTACGGTAAAACACCCCATTTTTTCATTGTATTTTAATTTCAACAGCGTCGTCAGTTTTATAAGCGTCTTGTCACTTTTTCGTATTGGGTCAAGAAACAAGCTTACGATGGCCAAAACCATTTTATTTTTATCTCACTTATTGTAGCCATTTTAAAAATTAATCTAATTATAATTAATCATTATAGTTATATTTTGGTGGTAAATTAACTTTTTATACTTTATAACCATTAAGGGTTAATAATTCTATCATACCCAGTTTCAATAGTTATTAGGAAAAAAAAAGCTACCTTGAAAAAAAAATAATGTTCAAACGTATTATGTAAGTAGTAAATGAGTATTATACTTGCATTTTGCACAATACTAGTAATATACTATGTAAGTATATTACTAGTATTTATTACTATACTTTTATTTATTTTATGTGTTTATTACAGCAATTTGTTAGAGTAGTTAAATAATATTTTTTATCCATACATTAGTTTTATAATATTTTTTTAAAAATTTTATCAATAATTTCTACTAAAACTTTTGAAAATATCTTTAACTAATTCCTTTTTTAAAAAAAAAAAAGAAACAAATGTTACTAAAGTATTAGTTTCATATGTTAGTTAATGCCTTCATTTGTTTTTATTTTAGAGGCGCATCTGATCCCTATCGCCTATTCAATTTAGATGTTTTTGAATATGAACTAAATAATCCCATGGCTCTCTATGGATCTATACCTCTTATGATAGCTCATAGGTAAGACATTTCTTCAATTATGATATTTCTCCTGGTATTATATATATTTTTGTTCCTACATAGGAATTGACATCAGCATACATTAGACAGGAGTTTGATAATACTAAGCAATGATTCCGCTAGGATTTTGAAACTGTGGATCCTTAGGACCCATCAAATCCGAATTTCTTGACACCTTTTTATTAAAAACAGGTCTTTATTAAAAATAATATCTAACTCCCATTTAAAGACATAGTACATGAAAGGGGAATATTTTCTAGTGCTTCACAATAGAATATTGGTCACGGTCTGGGAAACATCTCTGAGAGGGATGCGGAGACAACATTCATACATCACATCCTGTTTTACAGGGAGGACACATTGACACACCATTCATCCATCTGCAGATCGTAATTTTCACCTGAACCAAAACACGATCAATAGGAATATTTTATGATTAAGAAAGAAAAGGCAATTAGTAATTGATTAAGTAATCATTCAACAAAAGAAAAAGATGAATTTTCCATCAATCAATCAGAATGAATTGTCCTTAAAAGATCAGAAATAAATCTTTTTAAAATATAAGACACATTATATTCTTTTTAAAGTATACTAATTCATAATGCTGATCAGATCATTTAAAATAATACTTTGCTAAAGGCATGATAAAACAAGTATCACTGAAAACTTAATAATGTCAGGGAAAACCTAGGATTGTGAGGGAAATTTATTTTAACTCTAAAAATCAAGGAAAGCTTTAATTTTTTACAAAAACCTGTAATAGTCCTATATTCTACATGGAAAATAACCAGCAGTGGTCGCATTCCCCCTAAAATTCATAAAATTCCTAAAACTAGGTGCAAACCCTAAAATTCCTAAAAATCTGATAAAATTTTGTTGGTGTTCCTAAAAAATTAGAGTTATAGGCTAAATATAAATAAAAAAGCAATAATCTAAAATATAAGAATTTAACTACATTATTTAAAACTGTTTTAATTTTGCCACATGGGAATTCTGNCCCCCGCTTCGGTAGCCCGACGACCTGCGCGCGAAGTCGAGCACTTTACGGTAGCACAGTTTAACGAGGACCAATACTGCACACCCTCGGTCCCTACGCAGACTGATCCAAGTGGTCACCCACCCGCACACTGACCGTAGCCAGTGATGCTTGACTTCGGTGATCTGCTGAGAACCGTGTACAAAAACCTGGAATAGTCCTATATTCTACATGGAAAATAACCAGTCTTAAAATTGTTCGTAGCAGTAATCAGTTATTGAGATTCGAGTTAAATAATTCTAACATCTCATACAATTATTTATTGTAAAAATTTCACTTTTTAGTCTAACTGAAATGTTTCCATCCTCATTTAATGGTATTTTTTTTACAAAAAAAATCTAATATTTCACATTACAAATAAAAGAATCAATGTTTTTTGATGAAGATTTGGTCTCTATTTTCATTGAAATTTATCTGGTATACCTGGAAAAGTCAGGAATTTTTTTTTTTTTAAATTGATTTTGAACCCTGTAATGTGTATCTTACTTGCATATAAAAGAATTTAAAAATGAAATATCAGATTTAGCATGACTTAAGATTAACTACAAATAATACATTATTATAGTTTCCCCATAAATAAATGTGCTTGAGCAATAAATATTTTCAATAAGTTTTAGTTACTATTTATTTCTAATGAAAAGTGCTACTATTAAAGCATGTAAACTTTTTACAAAAAATAGCTCATACAAATAATCTATTTAAAACAAAATCCTACCTATACATTTTACAATTTTAAATTTATAAAATCTTAATAATCACCATTTTTAAACATAGTTTAATTACTAATATTTCATAGGTACCAGCTCTCACTATTTTTTGAGGAAGCTCCTTAATTTTTACTATATCTCCAGAACTCATTAGTAATTTCTTTATTTTAATCAAAAGTATGAATTTTTTTTAAAAAAAATATATTACATTTTTATGAAAAATTATATTTTAGAAGAAAACATTTTATAAATAAATAACATGCTTATTTTAATTTCTGGTTTACATTGGCATTTCTAAAATAAAATATATTTTTGGTATCATCCCCCTATTCTATTTGCCAACTTCTACTGAGAATGTTCAAGTTTCCTAAATGACAGAATTGTTTACGTATGTAATTATAAAATTCTTCCTAATTTTTGTTTTTAAATAATAGTGTTTTTAACACTAGGCGTCTAGATAGTTTGTAGTGGTGATTTATACCATGATTTTAAAAACTATAGATCAAGCATATAATACTCTTTATTTTTAATCGGTAGACAAGAAGATAAAAGCAAAGCCCTTTGCCTCCCATTTCTCATCTGGAAAAATAAATCGAAAGTAAAGTATTAATAGAGGCCATTATTGACGATTTTTCAAAGATGCTACAAAATTATCGCTATGAAATGAAAGGAATTCATTTTTTTATGCTTATGATGTGTTTGCAGTTAACAAAAAGAAAATTTAAAAATAGAATTTGACTCTGCATATAATAATAATAAAGTTAAATGTACTATTTATTGAGAAAGAGATTTGGGAATTAAATATGTGTATAGAAAATTAATGAAATAAATAAAAAGTAGAAAATATATCATATTTATAATTCCAGGACAATGTCATTCACAATTAATAAGGTTTAAAATTACTATTTTTTTGTGTGTTCCTTATTAGTTTTCTAGTATCATATGCTCTCCCTGAAGTATTAACTATAGTATGTATACAAATTTCTAGTTTACTAATACACAATCAATATGTAACTAATCTACAATAATAATAATAAACTTAAATTTCTTCTGCGGCCAATTTTTTACTCCAATTTTCATATTGAATTGTTGGTAACTAAGTTAAAAGAAAGCTCTGTAGTGGATAAACTACATTTAAATTACATATTGATATTACATGTTACATGAAAAATATTTTTGGAAGTTCTGTTATTTGTTTTTAGTGCTGTTATTTGTTAAAAATATTCTTTGTTTAATTTCTTTTTAGTGAAACAAATACTGTTGGCTTGTTTTGGCTTAATGCTGCTGAAACGTGGGTTGACATTGAAGCCCCTTCCAATCAGGTAAGTGCAACATTTGAAATAAGTGAAAGGAAAAAAAAAATATTATAATTTATTGTTGAACCAAAATCCTCCATTTGTTGAAGGGTGTTGTTTCATCAATTGTGGATTTTGTTAAGGGGAACAGCCAGACTCCTCAGAGAGACACTCACTGGTTTTCTGAAAGTGGTATCATTGATGTCTTTTTCCTGCTGGGGCCTCATCCGAAGGACGTCATGTATCAGTATGCAAGACTTACTGGAACTACCCCTTTGCCTCCCGTAAGTTGTAATTTAGAAACTCAATTTGCCTTTAAAGAATTTCTGATCTTTGATTGTTCTTAACATTTTCTGTTCTTAATTTTGTTTGAAACAGTTGAAGTCTCTGATAGATGTTTATAAGCAAAGTTAACCGTTTGCCTTATAAATTTTTTTGGAGAAAAAAAAAGCAAAAAATTGACTTATTTTTTTTATTTCATTAATAAATACAAGAAACTAAAACAAAACATAATACACAAGTTTTAGATTGAGATTTAATTTTTCTTTTGTGTAAAAAACATTTTGTTTACCATCAGTATACTATCCAGATTTATCTCGGGCAAATGAAAAAAGATAAATATTAGTCTTTATATGATAGTTTTTAAAGCAAGGCACGAAACAAAGTTGAGCATATTCCAAATGTCAGTGAAGTGATATACCATTTTTTTATTCTTTTTTTTTTCTATGTACATTCAGCAACCATCATATATACAATTGCAATAAACATGTGTGCAGTCCTACAAATCATCAACAAAACATAACAAACTTCCAATCCAAAATTTTTATTTATTTTGTTTTGTTTTTTTGCTTCCGGTCGAGTAAAAACATGAACGAAACATACTGAAGATTTCTGCAGCTCTCGAGTTTTCTCGGGATAATAAATATTTGCAATATACCTGAGTAATATAATACCCGAGTTAACTCAGTATTATCAGGGTAGCGGTTAATGTTATATTGAGAAATTTTTCAAGACATTACTGAATTAATGTACAAATCAATTTACTTTTTATCCTCCTCATACAATATTCCTATAACTTTAAACAGTTGAATTTTCGCTATTCTCAATAATTTTCTCGAAAAACAAAAACATAAATTAGAATTTTCATTACTAATGTTAAATCTATCCTATTATATGGATATTAGACATGGTATGGCAATGTGAAAAAACATTGTTGTTGCAAATTATCAACAACTGTTGAAGAAGAATCTTGCGTATCAAGTGGTTCTATAAAATTTTTGATGCTGAAATCCTTAGAAAAGCAAAACAGAAACCGATTGATCTTCAAATTAAAAAACGTAAATGGAAATAGATAAGTCATGTTCCATGTAAACCTAAAAAATTTAAAGTGAAACAAGTTTTTTTTTTGCAACCCTCAAGTTAATAGAAAAAGGGGGAGGCCTAAAAATAGTTGGAACTGGACGATTATAAGCGAATTTAAAAAAATGGGAAAGACATGGAGAGAGAAGAATTATTTAGCCACAAATAAAGTGATATGGAAAGCTATTATAGAAGCTCTGTGCTCCAATTCAGAATAAAGAGGAATATATATGTGTGTATATATGTTAAAAAAATTTGTTTCATTTGATTTTCAAAAAATTTTTTCCTTATAATATTTGATATGTCTTAAACTAACAAGAAAAGTACCTGAAATGTCATTTGTTAATTGAGCTGATATGTTTTCAGATAATTTTTTAGGTTCTGAAATAGTATATAAAATTTATTATGTCTATTTAGAAGCAGTTATTAAGTTATCAGTTTATAAAAAACTGAAATTTGTTTTCTGAATATTTCACCAATTTTAATCCATAATTTTGTGGAGATATGCTGCGGTGTTTATGATTTAAAACATCAAATTTCGGTATGTATGGCATATCTAATAGAGCAGCCTATCTGGTGTTTTTTTAAATTTTTTTTTATTTTTTACTATGTTAGCTTGAAAACTTTATTTTGTTGAATTAATTCTCCAAAATTTCATTATTACTCTTCATCTTTTTATCTTTTACAGCGATCTAATTTTATAATTTATGATCAGTAATAATATAATAATTTAAATAATTAACAATGCAGGTGAAAAATAGTTTGCATGAAATTAACAATAGCAAAAAAAAAAAAAAAACGCTCTCCTTTTTATCAACAGAAGCTGTTGACGAATTCCCTTCCCATAATTCCGCCACGAATAGTCTCTTACACGAAACAGAATTATTAAACTGACTGTTATGCAGTATTTTATGTCAATAAACTGCAAGTACTATTTAATATAGTAGATTAAAAGTTAAAAAGTAAAAAAAAAGTTAGTAATTTTTTTCAAAAGACATATTTTAATATTGTACAAATTTTTTGTCACTGTATTAAAATGAACTGTTCAGTTCAGACATTTTAATAAGCATTAAAAAGAACATTTTTTCTATGAAACAGTAAACATAACTGTAGGAACATATAGGAAATGATAAATATCTGTCTAAATTGTTATTAAAGGTTATTTATCTTATATTGTTGCAATTATTTCTAAAAACAATTTATTATTCTTACATAATTAGTGTACCCTCCCCTTAAACATACATCTCTCTCTGTCAGAAAATTTCTTCTGTTCTAAGAGCGTCCTGTTTTTTGAGGTTTCTCTGTAGTATTAAAAAATTTTTTTTAAAATAAAATCAGGCTTGATTTGCAAGAAGTGACTCTTTCGGTACTTTCTTTGTAAATGGGAGAAAAAAAAATTTAAATATAATTAATCAAGTTTAAAAAAATATTTATTTTTTAATATTTTCATTCCTAAGTAAATTATATTTACTTAGGAATTAGGAATTACTTATATTAAATAAAGCTATGTTCCAATTTGTTTCATGTACAGATTTAATTTTATTTGATATGAAATATATAATGTAATATTAAAATATATCTCATTTATTCATTTAATTTAAATTATTTAATAATAGTTCATAAGCTTATTTACAAAGTATTTTTTCATTAAGCTAGTGTGTGTATATTTATATGTATATATTTGCATGTTTATTTTAAAAAAAATGCACCTAATTAAATCACTAAGTTGTTTTAAATTTATTAGATGTTCAAAAGGTTTAAAAAATTAGGAGACTTGGTAGCTGTGTAATTGCGATGTTTCATTCATAGATTTCAATTTTATGTTTGGTTAATAGCCTAAATTTTGATAATATGAGTGTGTATATTATCTATTAAAAAATACTACTTTTGTTCTGTATTATTTCAATAATTTTGGTTTCCTTTCAGCTGTTTTCTCTGGGATATCATCAATGTAGATGGAATTATCGAGATCAGGATGATGTTAGAAATGTTGATGCTGGCTTTGATGAAAACGATATTCCATATGATGTTCTTTGGCTTGATTTGGATCATACTAACGATCGAAAGTAAGTTTTTTTTCATTTCCCATTATGTGAATGTTTATGATCATTTTTTTCCTCTTATTTATACTATAAATTTCATGTCTGAGGAATTAAAAAAGAACCTTGTTTTTAGAATTATACAAAATTATCTTTAATCTCAAAATGACTCAGACATAAAATGGTGGCAGAGTTTAAGAACGCCACTGTCTTCCAAAAGACTTGCACCATAGTTTCAAGTCCTGTCTGAAGTCTTTATAATGTGGGGTGGAAACCATCTCATTCTTTGCTGAGATTTAACCAAACATTCTCTTGTGACCCCTACTAAGAGCCTTTTGGATGCTGCTTCTCTTTTTTCGAAATATGAGACAAGCTTGTTTAGTGAGAAAAAAAAAAAAGGTTTTTGGCAAGATCGGATTCAGGATAAAATTTTCATAAACTTTCTTACAACTTTTAAACAAATCTTTAGTTCCATTATTTGGTTAAATTTGATAAATCTAAAATTTATTTGGTATAAAAATTTCAACAATCTCCTATTTTTGTTAGGTGCTTTTGCTTTGTGAGGCTAGCACTGATTGTCAAATGACTTTTATTTAGCTTAATATTTTGATTTTAAATTTTGTTTTAGTTATCTTGGAGTTTGAGTTAGTTCAGTTTTGCTCTTCACTTTCTCTTTCACAGGTTGGTAATAGCAAAGTTTTAAATTTACTAATTTCCTTGTTTAAATATCAAACGCTGAGTGCCTTATGATTGCAAAATTTGGCCTTTATCCTGTATCTTGGGCTCTAAGTATTCCTATCTTTCTTGGGTTTAAATTAAAATTCATCAGATGGGCTAGAACTTCCAAAAGGTAGCTCAAGCTCATCTCTATTGTTTTCTGTTTTTTCTCTCTATGTTTGTTTTCTATATGGTTATTGGTATTTATTGCTGTACTTGTCTTTTAATCTTCCCATTAGAAATATTTAAAAAATGAATAAGGAGCCATGCAACTTACTAAAAAGGAGAGTGATCTTTTTATTTTCTTTGATACATACTCTTATTAAAACTCTTTTGTTGTATTCTTAATTTGATTGAGACACAGATAAATACTTAAGGATTCTATGATTTTCTTTGGAAGATATTTCACACTTGTTCAATTCCCACTCATTATTAATTTTTAATTATTCATAGTTCTTGAATCTTTTCTGTGTTTTTGTTATTCTGAAGTTCTTCTAATTGATATGAAAGTTTATGAGTTTGGCAAGTCTATTAGTAATTAATGAAACTGAAATAGATCAACTTAGTATAGCAAGGAGGAGTTACTTATGATACTTTAGTATCATTAAAAGCAATGTATTTTGTATATTAATAATCATTTGTAATTTATAAAACTTTTCCCTCATACTTGAAGGGTTTTTATTATTATTATTATTTAAAATTTAACTTATCCACATTAAGTTAAACTCGGAAGAAAAGCATATTAAGGCCCTCATTTAAATATTTTTAATACCAATTTGAGAAAAAAATTGTTTAATAAAAATATTTAAAATGTGTGATTTAAATCTTATCAATTATTTATTAGGTATTTCACCTGGGAGCCTTATAAATTTCCTAATCCAACAGAAATGATTAACAACCTTACAGCTAAAGGCCGCAAAATGGTCACCCTTGTTGATCCACACATAAAAAAAGATAATTCTTACTACATTCACAAGGAAGCCTCTGAGAAAGGACTCTACGTTAAAAACAAAGACAATAACGAGTACGATGGTTGGTGCTGGCCTGGCTCTTCCGGGTACTTAGACTTCTTCAGTCCTGAGGTACGTGAATGGTGGGCATCTAAGTACGCATTGGATCAGTACAAAGGCTCCACTCTAGCATTGTACACTTGGAATGACATGAATGAACCGTCGGTTTTCAACGGACCGGAAGTTACCATGGAAAGAGATGCCAAGCATGTGGGTGGATGGGAGCATAGGGATGTTCACAATCAGTATGGAATGATGATGGTAAGTCATATACCATGGTGCATAGCGTTTTTAAACAGTACTTAGAGGTGCACATTTTCGTCTTTTTAAAAGTCCCTAAGGACTTTTTTTTTCCATGAAGTTTTTTTAAAAAAGTGCTTAATTTTCCCTTTTCCGAAAGGGTAATTTTTTTCTTCTTAGCCATGTCGATTTTCGCCGCGTATTATGCAAAATTGTGTTTTTCACATTGTTGTATTCAATGTTTTCACAATTAATTTTGGCGTATCGTTGGTCTATATCATATGAAAGTGCCGATCATTTTACTTGTTTGATGAAATACTTGCGAGTTCGCATGTGCATCTTCTGAGGTGGGTTCAGGGCAATAATTGCACTCTCGTGTGCAACTCTGCTGCATTTTTCAAGATATTCTCCATTTCAGGCTTCATTTTCCACTGACTCATATGGAACCGAAAAATCTATTGATCATTTTATAATGGCTAATATAATTTAGATATAATTATAATTTAGTTTTTTGTCAGAAACTAGTTATTTTATCATGATGATGTAAATGAAATTTTTTTTACTGTATATAGTGCTTAAAAATATTTTTTGAGTGCTTAAGTACTTTAAAAGTGCTTATTTTTTGTTGAAAGATTTGGCTTTGAACCCTGTATATACTTTGTTTTATATTGGTGTATAAGTCATATGTTTTTTTATATGCTTATTGTGATTGCAATGTTCAGTTGTTTCAAGTGCAAATACTACAGATATGAGATTCTTTTGACTTTCTAAGCATTTGAATAATACTAAAAAGTATTTGATTTGATTTGAAATGGTGCTCCATCACTGAAAAAAATATGCATCAAGGAAAAATTTCCAAATTGGTTATTGTATATTGTAGATCAGATATTTATAAACAAATAAAAATCCATTGAATTTTTTCAAAGAGAAAATAATAAAAGAAAATGTCATGATAAATGTTTGTTTTCATTGTATTTCTGCATTCTTTTGTTGTATTATTTATTTATTTTATTCTATTTACAGTGTTAGAAGTTGTTAAAAAAAGTTACTGGTCTGTAAGTGCTAATATCTACTGGTCCATAGGCAATATCACTGTTTCTCTGTTTCTCTTGAACTGCAACATTTAATATATTTTTGCATAACTAAAAATAATTTCCATGCTTCATGTTCAAAATAAATTCACAGTTTGTGATTTTATTTTGAATGAACCTTGATTAATTATAGCTTACTATTGAATAAATGATTAAATTGTTCTTACATAAAAAAATTAATTAAAAAACAAAATTAGCTAAATAAAAAGTAAAATATATTTACTGATGCGGGGATTTATAAAAAGGCTTAATTTTTTTAAGACTATACTTTTGCATACTGTGTAATAAATTTGTTATTATCTGTATTAAGTTTTAACCATTTGTAATTCTTCCTGCATGTAATCTCTTTTTCTTTATGCAGCATTTCTTGCTTTCTTTTTTTATTGACATGGAGCTTTAACGCTGGTAACTTTTTTCTTCGGTTGATTAACATCGGGCATATTTGGTATACGACAAACCAAAATTATTATTTCATGGCAGTTTAAGAGGGATTTCAAGAGTCTCAGACTAGGAAACTACCAATGATTTTGAATGCTCTTTTTCATCATTATGTATATATCTTAACAGTTTAGTTGGACTGTTAATGTTGACACATAGTAAAAAAAGAAAAGAAAGAAACTTTAATGAGTAATTAAATTATTTATTTTTGTGTAAAATAATTTCACACGCTTTTTTGTTTATTTTTTTTTATAATTTGAGCTTACAGTTATTTTCAAACTTTTTGTTTCTTTCTCATTTTTATGCCTGCTACAAAAACAATGAAGGATAAACTTTTTTCCCCCCATAATTTTTTGTTTTTGAAAGCTAGTATTATTTTGTCCTGATGAAGACAGGATGTGCTATGTATGAATAAAGTAAACCTAGGAGAATAAAGTGCAAAAATGAGCCTACTGTAGTTTTGTTCTTTATGGTTCCTTATTAATAGAACAATAACTATTGTATGCCCATTTTTTTTGTCTTTAATTGTGTTTTATTCATTTACAATATTGCCTTTCATTAATTTCAATACTGAGTTAACGTTTTAAAATGCCTTGTAATAATTGCTCTGATAATAAAATTTTATCAACTGCAACCCAAGTGGGAATTAAAGAATATAATATATTATCAACCAAGTTCAATTTTCAAAATGTTTGGTTATTTCATATATTGTGTAACTTTGAAACCTTATGTGAAGTCATGAAGTTACAGTGCATTACCAATAGCTTGAATTATTAAAAATTGAATTATTTGTGTATATTTTTTGATCAAATAAGTAAAAATAACATCAAAAGCAATAAATTTTCGACAGATTTTGCAGAATATTGGCCTGAATAGGATTAGCATTGTTTTTTAATTCATCATTTTTGACAAAGAACTTAAATCTTTTATTAAAAAATCAAACTTTTTTTTATTTCCTATTTTATAGTTTTTATCCTTGAAATTTCCCAAAAAGCAAAAGCATTAAATGTTTAAGTTTATTTTGGAGGTTAGTCATGCATATTTAGTTCACTTCAAGTTAAATGACTGAAAGAGTTCTATTGTTGTAACTTTTCATTTCATTCATATAAGAATTAAAATAAATTCAGACAGGAAATGGCAAGTTTCTTTTTTATTTTTATTTGAGGAGTCTTAGGAAAGCATCATTTGGTATCATTACCAAATTTTTTTTTCAAGCTGTAATTTTAGAATTAAGCAGTTACATTCAGATATTGGATAAAATTGCTTCTTTAATGTTCTAAAAAAATATGAAAAAGGGATGAAAATAGTTATCAAACTTTTAAGAATTTACAAAAATATTCCATGATCGAGACAATTCAATAAGAGGAAGTCTTTAAAATTTAGGGAGAAATTTAATTTAAAAGTGTCATAATGATTGAAGCTAAAAACTATTAGTTTTGAATGAAATTTTTTTTCCGCATTATTCACAAAACTGCTTTGGCAGAAGTATCTATGATGCATTTACTTTCTTTTAACTCTTTATATTATTTCACAGGTGATGTCTACTTATCAAGGACACCTGATGCGTAGTAACAACAACCAGAGACCTTTTATTCTTTCAAGGTCTGTTTTTGCTGGATCTCAAAGATATGGTTAGTGTTCATTATATTGAAATACTCTTAAGTTACAGAGTTTTTCCTACATTTTCGCTTAAATACACTTTCAAACTTCCTAATACTTGTTATGAATGTTGTGTACGAATTTTATTAATATCAGTGTGCTAACTATAATAGTTTCAATGAAAAACCTCTAAACACATTCTTATTTTATGAAATTCATTTTTATTACTTTGTTATGTACCTTTAAATATTTAATTAATGCAAGATTGACAGTATCAGGTTTTTTATAATTATAGTGTAGTGCTTTATCCTCTTCTATTAAAATGACAATTACATTGTATAATTGGTTTCTCATCTATAGTGATGAGTTATTCTGGTCATGTGACTTAAGTTACTGTTGAATGGGGTAATAAATTTGGTTTAAAATTTCAAGTGTGCTGAAACTGACAGTTATTTCAAATATTTTTGTATAAAAATTAATTGGTCATTTTATGCAAATATTTTCATTACCAAATGTTACTAGTTGAGGTTTACTACTGTATCATGGTGGCTCTTATATGCAGGGGTGCCACTGTTCTGCAAATCCACAAAACTTTGTTTTTTAATCTGACTTCTATCATAAGATTTAATAAACAATTCAAATATTGCAAAAATTTCATATGTTAAACTGGGGGCGATCTGCAAAATGCCCATAAGTGGTCCAACTATTTTGTTTAGTCTAACCTATTTGTTTCATATTTTTTAAGATTTCTATTTAGGAATAAAACCTGATTAAATACATTTTCCTGTCCTGGAATTTTATAGATGCGAGTCTGAGGTTATATACTTATTTACCGCTTTTAGAAGATGAAATAGTATCTTTTGAATCTTTAATCTTGTTGTAGTTCTGGGATTAGTTGTTCCAAAACTCTAAATCTATCTTTTACTGTTTATTTCAAAGGATTTTAATCTAATTAGCGGTACATTAATCACAGAATTATTGAAATGGTGAACTGAGAAATTAATTTATGTAAATCTTTATTTTTAAAAAATTAAGTTAAGATTTAAAAATTTTAATTTAACTACGGAATAATCAATAGTTTATAAACAGAATAGTCAGTCTTCAGATTCTTCTGAAAATATTTTATTACAGGTGTAGTAGAGGCTCAGTCATTAAAATTTTTCCCTTCTTAATTATTGAAAATGTTGATTAATAGACTTTTGAATTGTGCTAATTTTTTTTACTTCAAATAATTGAGTTTTTATTCTTTATAAGTTAATAATTATAGATCTAAAAAAAATAATATGAATTACTCATTTTCAATTAATGAAACTGATATATTATGACACTATTCTGCTTTATTTGATTTATTATTTATTTATTTTACAGTTTTCATAACAATCAATAGGTTATTTTAAGAAATGTATTTGCCGCAATACAGGCATGTGTACTAAGTCTGATTTTTTTCACTACCTTGCAATTAATTCTCTTTGTGACATTGTTGTCATCAAATTGCTCTGCTGATATTATTGTTTTAGGACACAAATGCAGCTCTTTATAATTTCTTTCTTTCCAGTTAGCTCTTCATAAAAAAATGACGTATTTATAACCAGGGTTGGCAGGTTTTTGACATGTGACAGTTTCTGACGGTTTAACCCATGGTCTAAACCGTCACATNTTTCTTGGCAAACTTCAGTTTTTGATGGTTTAAACCAGTATTATACCCTTGTCATGTCAAAAACCACTTTTTGACGTCAAAAACCCAACCCTGTTTATAACATATATATAAAATTATAATTTAATATTATTAAGATCTGTTCCAATAATTACGAAAATGTACTTGGTAATGTTGCAAAACTGGCCCGTCATTCTAGCATTAACCACTTAGGCCTGTCATTCTAAGCATAAGTTTCAATATTTACTTTCCTATTAGGCTAAAACCTAAATTATTGAATGAGAATTTAAATAGAGTCGTATCAGGAAAAATTAGAAAAATTGCTCTGCTATAATTTTTGAAGTTTGTTTTGAGCAACATGGAATGAGGGAGAAGGCACTCAAACCCCTCCGTATTTCTAGTGTTTGTAGTGCATCTAAAACTACCAAAATACAATTCCAGTTCACTAGTATATAAGACAAGTTAACTCAATTCTATGTAGGGGTACCTTTTCATGGATGAAAGTTGACATTGTCGATAACAACACTCCCCACATGTTAATTGCTGAATTTACATTTTATTCCAGGTGCTGTGTGGACTGGAGATAACATTGCAGATTGGGATCATCTTAAAATTAGTATTCCCATGATTCTTAGTTTGAGTGTCACTGGCATGTCATTCTCAGGAGCTGATGTTGGAGGTTTCTTTAGAAATCCTAATTCTGAGCTAATGCTGCGTTGGTATCAGGTGAGTTATTCATTTCATACTGTGTCAAAAACTAAGGTTTATTTTATTTATGCTTTTTTTAAAAAAAATAATAATAATATAAATCGCAACTTGTGGTTGTTGAAAACTGTGTGATTGACTTTTTTTTGTAATACTAACAATTCCTTATATTATCACTTCATTCCAAAGTTAATATCGAAAATAATAACTTGAAATTATGTAAGACTGTCAGAGTTAAATTTTTGAGCCTATATGGCCATAGTTAGATAATATAGATGTGTGCGGATACATTGGTGGAGATTCTCCAAATTTGCAGATACTTTTTTAATATTTATTGTAATTAAAAAAAGTATCCCCTTCCACAAAAAAATAGTTTGCAGTGGGGAAAAAAAACATATGAAGCAGACAGCGTAATGCAAGGTAAAAGAAAGTCAATGTTTAGTTGTATGCATGCTGTTCCCAAACATAAAAGCTACTTTAGCCCAAAGATTAGCGATCCAATCGTTGGCGGTCAAGTCTACAATCAGCTCATTTTTTACAACTTAACTCGATTCGACTATTGCTTTACATCGAGAGTAGACGATAGCGGTGACAGTAGGAAATCTTCTAATGTAATTTCGTTTTTAAAAAATTGCTAATATTACTTAATATAATAATTACTTTATATAAATGTAGTTCTATAACTATTAATATTTCTCTAATGTTCTTAAAGTTAATATGCATGTGTATGATGTATGTATATATATACATATATATATATATATTTCTCAAGAATAAATAAAGGTATTAAGTAGTTTGTATATTTAATAAAACTGTTTTTGTATATTTAATAAAATCATTCTACAATTCATTCAGCAAATGTATTATCAAAAATATTGTAAGCTTGCAGATACTTTTGGATTGTGTGCGCATTTACTTTGTTTTTATCTTACTATGTATGTAGGTCTCTACAGATAGTTTTCAGTTTTGAAACCAGAAGGAGAAATGATAGATGCATCATTCTTTTTATTTATTTTAATGTTTCAGTTATCCAAAATTCAGTCTTTCTTTTTTTCTGACTTTCTTTAAAATATCATTGAAAACCAATTTTTGCCTAAAATTTATTTTTATGTAGCAATTAAAGTAATTAGTATTAAGATAACTAGAATACTAAGTTGAAAAGATTTTATCTTGTATTTACTATTATAAATTGATATAAATAACTGATTGAATATCTCGAAACATTAGCCACTCATTATAAATCTTGTTTTCTGCTAATTAAACACATTTGCTTCCAAATAAATTGTTGACACTCTGATGTCCTATAAAGATATTTTAAGCTTTAACTGAAGCTTTTGATTTTTTCTTTTGTTTTACAACTTGTTGGCTAAGTGAAAGACTTCAATTCTCATTTCCAAATCCAACAGTGAAAGCTTATGCAGAAATGCTTACATATGGTTTTTATTATCTATATTTAATTTCCATTAATATTTATTCTGCTCAGCAATATCTTTTAAAACATTTAAAATACAAGTTTATCTCCCCAAAAAGGCCATTGACTAAAGTTTCAATTTTTTTGAAACGAAATTAAATTATTACTTTCAAAGAGTGTAGTTTACTATTATAATACCAGTGTCTATTTTGATAATTTACGTCAAGATTATTTTTTCGTCATCTGAATCCATTTTTGTTTTAACATTCATAAGAATAAAATCTTAAAGGCAAGCAGATATGCAGTAATTAATTGTTTATCCAAAGTTATGACTGTAGCAAAGCTTCAACTTTGTGTGATATAAATAAAATACTACTTCTACTCCCCCTTTTTTTTTTAAAGCGATAAAAGACATTTTATTGTCAAATGATACTCTCATAAAAATTTGTTAAGAAAAAAGCATTAAAAAAACAAACAGAAAATGCAAAATTTATTTCAAAATCTAAAATAGGGATAAATGAGAGCCCTTAAGAAACATAAATTGCACAGTATAAAATTTTATACCCAAGGCTATACAAATTTATATTGCTTTCAAGCAATATATACTGAAATTCATTAGCAACACTTTCTCTTGGAAATCTAAAGGCCATAAGTAAAAGGGGTGTTTTGCGCTTTCCTCTAATATAATTTATGTGTTTTGAACAGGATTTGAAAAAACCCAACCCGCCCGGGTTTTATTGAAAAAATATGATTGCCTGGGTTTTATTGAAAAAAAATGATTGCCCGAGTTTTATTGAAAAGCATATTATTGAAAAAACCCGGGGAAAATTGGGTTTTTTCATTTAGTGCTAATGAACTTTAAAATTTTACTGTGAAAATATTTTTATTTATGAAATAGTGTCGTATAAGCTTAAAAATAGAAATAAATCCAAAAAATTTATGTAAAAT